TATTCCTTTCCTCTTTCCCCGCACGGGGATATATTACTGAAACATTTTATAAACATCTAAAAAAATTTCTTACGATTTGGGCTTGCGGGAACAGACACTTCAGCCGTTAAAACACAGAGAAGCGAGTGTGGCCGGACAGAAATACACAGACATCCACAGAAGGAAGAACTGGAGAACTGAATCGCCCAGCCTGGTCTGGCGTGAGCCCCAACAACGGAAGGTGGTGAACTGCCGCCACCCTCCACTATGAAGCTGGAAATGTTAATTTTTCAGCTATGATGAAACATTGCATTATTCTTACCCGATCTATCACCCCCAGCTTTCTACTGAGATGTTCACCTCCAGCCAGCCCACAGTGCTAGTCTCTAGGTTACCATACATTCAAGTTAGATCCTTCCTAACATGTCACCCATGATGTCTAAATCAATCATTCACAACCACAAAATTTATGTACCAACTTATTTCAAGATTCTACTCCAAACTCTCCTTAGGCATAATACTACAAAAACATCTCGACAACAGTTAACCTAGTAATGCCCTTTAATGACTGCTCTTGCTAAGACAGTATTACCTCATTATTTTGCTACTTTTCAGGGTGTTGTGCAGCCATGAACTGTGAGCCTTACTTTTGCATTTAGAACCAATTTTTAATCGCATATTATTAGAGCAGATAACACTCTCCAGGTTGAGGCTGTATGTAGGACCCTTACAGACAATAGCCTTAAGAACAATTACACAGAAATTTAAAAACCAGCTCCTGAGTGTACCCCACAAAAGAACAGATTGTTCATTTTGTAGAAACCTTTCCCTTGAGATGTCACTTGCAAGAAATCTTTCTTTCAGCTCTCCTGAATTTTTATATTTGATTGTGACTCTAAAAAATTCTTTTAAAAAAAGACAACTGCCACTATTCTCATTTAACCCCACTTTAGAACATTAAGCTTTAAAACAACTGTACTTACAAGTCTGAGTCCCAATTGACTGCAAATACCTTTCTTCATTTAGAACTGATTAGATGTCACCTTACGTTCCTCATCACTACACAAAATTAGGTTCCAGACTCAGAACTCAGCAATACAGAACTCCATGTTTGTTAGAAAAATTAATATGGGGAACTTGTCTCTATTAGTAATTGCAGAACGGGTCATCCAACTTAAGACCCTTGCCAGGCTGCAGCACAATTCTCTTCTTTTGTGGCCAGCTTTCATTCTCCTTGGAAAAAAGGCACTACAGGGAAAGTAGTGTCTCTGTCTGAAGTTGTACTGAGATATTGCTGTGGCACACAAACAGACACAGAGAAAGGAAGTGCTCCTGGGTCTCACAAATGACGTAAGCTTACATGAATTGAGGTAAACAATTTTACTATTTGTCAAATGTAGTCAGTGATACCGAACTTCATTTGTATAGTACTCTGAGATTATTATACAGGGTGAACAGCCACATGTGGATGAGAGGTTGTAGATAGCACAGACATGTAACAAACAGATAAAGATTTGTGACAGAAACAGGTTCAAGGAGGCATTACACAATGAGACAAACGCATTACAGGCACCAGGACTGTGCAAGTGGCTACAGAAACTCAAGAGACTACAACAGCACAGATGGCTAATAGTGCCACCTGACTAACCGCCAGGGACAGTTTTCCATCTGTATTGCTCTCAGGTTCGTTCATGTTCTATCACTGTCACCTGTGCTGTGAGACTTCGATTTTACAAAGCAGAGCTGGAAAGTGAAATCTCTTCTCTCTAGTGACAGAAATTTTGCACAGCAAGTTAACTAATAACTGTGTATCACTTGGGCAGCTGTTAATCAGTACACCTTAGGACTGTTATCTTGGGGAATCTGCAATACCGTGACTTCACAGAATCACAGAATGTTCGGGGTTGGAAGACTTGAAATTCTATAATAATTTATAGCAGAAGGGACATGCAGAGCTCTTCTAGTCCAATCCTACTGAAACCAGGCTAAGACAGCTGACATTGACACAAACATAAGAATCTGTATAGGGCTCAAGTTCATGTGTTTTGTTGTTTTTTTTTAATGAGTTGATTATTGTTGCTAGCACTTGTTATTAGTATTTGACTTGGGGAGTTCATATCTCTCCACTGTGTGCAAAATTGCCAACAAATGAACAAGCAGCAGCATCTCTTATGTTTGGCTTTTTTCCAAACAACCACATGAAAATGTTAACTCTGAATTACAGAATTTTATTTTTTATGCATTTCAGAAATAAATGATTACATTTGCTAAAATCAGTTGTTGTTGTACTAGACAGACACATGTAAAACTCATCTTTCCATTTTACATTATAACATGCAGTGCGAGAATGATACATTATTTTACTTGAATTCTCAAGTGAATCATCTCTGAATAAATTAAGAGCTATCAACTGTACGAACACTGGTAACAGTCAAAACTATTTCAGTTGGGAGGAAGAAAAAAAAAAGATGTGTCAATACCATATAAAGGAACACCAACTGGAACGCAATGGAGTCACAGTTCTTACTAAGTTCTTTAGTGTATTTCTAAAACATATTGTACTGATTATCAGCTTGCATTACCAGAAGTTTTTGAGTGTATAATATAAATGATAACAATGAATGAAAACACAGTTCAGGATTAGTCAACATAAGTCAACTATTTTTAGGGTATGATGACTTAGGTATAGAGTTTATCTAGATGAGTATCAGCTCATACAAGTGTTAGATTTAACATTGCTTCCATCCCTCTTCATTTTTAAACTGTTTGGCTTGACAAAGTGTTGAGTAGCTTTGTGATTAAAAAAACAAAAACAAAACACCAAAACCACCACCCCCAACACTTCTAACCTCAAATCTTACTTTTGTTGCTACTTAACAGCAAAGTCAATCAATCTGATACATATTTTTTTCCCACTCAAAACATTTCTGTCACTAAAACTATACTCCACTAATCAGTGCAGAAGCAACATTATAAATGGGCATCTTTAGAAGTTCCATGACGTGTATTTTTGTGTACACAGTATACTTTGCAAAACAGTGGAAAGTCATGTGTAATAATATAGGAAGGTTTTGCTGGAAAATTTATCTTTTTTTGTTTGGTTGGCTTTTTCCTCCCAAACACTG